AGACCTAAAACAAACAAGTTTCCCAGTTGTTTAGTACACCAAAAGGGCTGCATCCTTCATTTGTGTAACAGCTGAATTTACAGTGTTATTTGGTTCTGGGCACTGAAGGATGTAGCGCCAAGTCCTCCACTCAGAATAACCTACATACCCCATCTTTTTTATCTCTCTCCAGAGCGCCATGCAGGAATTCTAAGGAAACATCTTCATTTTCATCCAGCCACTGCATTACAAACTGCTCAAACCACCTGCAGGAGGGACAGGAAAGACAGCAAGTTACAGCAAGAAACAGAGCACACCAATCAGACTCAGTGCTGCTGTTTCAACAAGCCTCGTGAAAGCTGTTAGATGTCTGAAGGCTGTTATCTGCATGTGCCGTTGAAGTTCCCAGAGACACTCCTAACTGTACACAACTGCCAGAGAGCAGGGCCTGCACTATCACTTGGGCTGGACTAGCAGAACACAGACTAGTCAACAGCAACTGCAGACTGTTGGTCCTCAGCTGGTTTTGTCCTTCTCCCCCGTCTTCCCTCTTCCTTGGCACCTTCCCCTTTTTTCCCCCTTGAGCACCACATTTAACTTTTTATCATCTCAGAGCACTTTGTCCTTTCTTCCCCTTTCACCCACGTGCCAGACAGGACAAGGGAGACCTCCACATCCAAACCCACAACCTCTGCATGCCAAGAGAGACAGCACACTGTCTGCTGCCCATTTGGGTTTACCATCTTTCATGTGAGAGCTGGAAATGAGTATAAAGGGAGGAAAAGAAGTGCCTGTTTTCCAGGGTCCTTCAGCCACTTTATCTGCAGATACAGACATATTTCTGGAGTTCCAGGAGGAAGAATCAAGGCTAGAAGTTTTCTCCACTTTAATCCTGCTCTCCCCTTCCCCAAGCCTTCTCTAGAACACCCTCCCACTTCTGTGGGCTGCTGATCTCACTGTGAAGATGCTTGAGAAACTTTTGGTGACAGCACAGCACATCAGCTTGGGCCTGCAGGAAGCTGGCCAGCCCTGTAAGCAGCTCTTTATTGTTTGCTTTTAAAGAAGAACACACTTAGTTCACGTTAAGTGCTGGACCAACAGCCTTTGTGCATGATCAAGACCCCAAAACAGGCATGTCCTAGAAGCAGGACAGCCAAGTTTGTCTCTGTTCCTTCTCCCTGCTTAGGAGGACAAGTGAAATGGCAGAGCAGAATCTAAGAAGCTGCTGAAGCAGCCACTGCTCTATCTCAGGGACATGCCTTACACGAGGTGGTGCCTGGAGCTACCTCCTGCACTGAACAAAAGGCTTCTACACAACCCCACCTTGGCCAAATAGGTAAGGTGAGAAGCAGTTTCAGTGATGGGATCCTACAGCTGGTCATCCCCCCGTGGGACATATTCACATTGTACAACGGCAGTGGGTTGTCTGTGTTTGAGCAACAACAGAGCACTTGCAGCTTTATGTAAATGTCTGTCGAGGATTTGTTGTGTGCAACTGCCAACACACTGCAGCTGAAGCAAATCTTAATTTCAAATATTACTAAACAGCAATCACAAATAAGGGAAAAAAGTGCCCACGTGTGATTTCAGTCCATACGAAAGATTATTATATGAGCTTCACAGAGTACAGCCTCCTCTAAACAGGCAGCTGTGTTCATAGAGATTGTGCTAATTATGGGCTGAGTTTGCAAAGAACATGAAAGCATGTGCCAGACATGAGAGGGAGATCAAGAGCAAATTCACAGACAGAGCATACTAGATAGCCTTAAATACTCTCTACACTTTGAAATATAAAGCACATCAATGCCAACATTGGAAATTGTAACTGACACAGTGTTAAATGCCAACAGCAACCTGTCTATGCAGCCCTATTTAATATAGACAGCAACAGTGGAACACTGACACAGACATACAGACTTCCTGCATTCTGGAAAAAATCGTTTTGAATGGCACTTCAGGCTCCTAAAAGTCAGCATATTTTGGAGTCTGCTGCAAGTTTCTCAAGCTTTCAACATTTTGTTTTAAACTACAGTGGCACGTTTCAAAGCAACAGCTCAATCCTTAGAAGAGAAAGAACTCAGTTCACAAGGAAGCAACTACATATCTTCTACCTGCTTCACAGTTCCCAGGCTGCAAGCAGCTGACTACTTCACATGTCACAGGTCCATGTACAGGGAGGATTAGTTGTTAGCGCCATTCACTGTTGAGAATGGTCATTGCCCATTTTTATGGCTACCATATGTTGATATAGAAAATCAAGTGCGTAGGTGTCTTATGGTCTTACCAAATTGTCTAAAAAAAAGGCAGCAAGGAAAAAGGTACTGCTGAGTGGCTGGTGGTGATGGTCCGTTTGCTCCCCCTCCCATTACAAAAAAAGGCATCACCTCCATAAAAAGGTTTAATATGAATGTTTAAGTGCAAAGTAAGTAACTTGGGTCAGGTCAGGAAATTCTGCGACTACATTTGCAAAGGCAGCCTTGACTTTGTCCTTTATTGGCTGGCAGGAAAACACAAGAGTTATAAATCATCTGTAAATACTTCCAGTCCCTGGGCACATCCAGGACCAAAATGTGCTTTGAGCTGTAACACAAACCTAGAGTTATCTTAGGCCAAATACCCCTTACCGTGTTTTGCTATCAGGTCTTGGGCTGCTGAGCAAGTGAAGACTACGAAGACAACATATCCGAAAGGCTGTCCAAAACTAGCACAGAAACTAATAAAAATAATCTGATTTCATGCAGAAATAGCTTCAAAATGTTCTTATATGGCAAATATCTTCTTCCTCATCTGCTTCAATTATCGATCTAGAAGCAAATGCTGTAATGACTCATGCACCAGCACACAAGGCAGAGGCTCATGGTGCTGCTTCAGAGGCATTCTGAGCTTGCAGGGGTCAGCACAGCTTGACTTGAGATGGTACAGCCAACCTCTCCAAACGAGGTTTGCACAGAATATGCCTCATACCTGCTGGGGAAGGGAGCAACGCTTTGTGACTAAATGAAAGTTTACCTCTGTTGGTTACACAACAATAACGTGACACAAAAGGCTGCAATTTCAGCTTGGCCATGAGCCTGGCTCCTGTGATCTCAGACTTCACAGGTGAATTAATTTGTTGGTTTGGTGTGCTGATGCATGCAGGTACGCAATGAACATCCTGTGGGCCTTGGCAAGTGCAGAGGCAAAAAGGCAGGCAGGGTTTCAAAGAGTAAGTGCTATGTTTAATGAAGTGAGCCAGAAGAATAAGACAGGATTTCAAAGGAAAGAATGCCTTCCCCCACCAGAGAGGAGGTAGTCTCTAGTACAGCTACAATACTAGCTGCATGCTAACATCGGTATTAAAACAAAATATAGAACACTTATTTACACATTTAAGAAGCTAGATTTTTTCGGAAACTGACACTTCACAGCTTTTAGCCAGCAGCTAAAACGTGAAGAGAGGAAGTTTTGAAGATAGTAGCTATGTTGCTCCTTCAGTTTCAGAAACTGCTGATGAATTTTAGAAAATAAGGGGAGTATAAAAACTCCAGCTTCTTTTTTTTGGAGCCTTCACTTTATTCAAGCATATCTCAAGGCTAATCAGAAGCACGGTTTCTCATAGTGTCAACATGAAAAGCAAGTTTGTGGATAGCCTCTGATCTGTTGAGTAGGCAGACAACTCAGCCGTTTTCTGGACAACAGCAATTTAGTTTCATCTAAAGAGTTTACTGATGTGCAAACCTGATGCATGGACTCCCTTTGTTTAAGGAAGCTTCAAGACTAAAAATACTTGTGATGAAGCAAATCAAAGCACACGAGCACATTGCTGTAATTGATACCAAGGGGATATTTCGTGACAGGTGAAGGTTATGGTTGAAATAAACATCACCTGTGTCTGACAATGCGGCTATTGTACTAAAATTCAAGAGTGAAGCAACGAGGCCAGCAGCTGCGAATGTACATGAGCACTGAAGCTCTACCACAAAAGCCAGCAGAGCAGAACAGTCTGCAAAAGACTGCAGAACAAAACCAAGCATCATTATCCTGATTACACAGGAGAAAAAGAGAGATTAAGAATATCTGATGGCTTGCCTGAGACTGCACTGACTCAGAGGCACAGCAAAGAGAACAGGGCTTCTGAGACTGTCACTCCAGCACCCTATTCACTGAGCTAATGCCTCTCACTGACCTGATTTGTTAAGCAAGGCCCACAGCCCAAGCTGAGCAATTATGCCAACTGCCTCAAGTCTTATTAGTATGCAGCCAGCACCAGGCTTGAGGGACTGAGCGCACGACAGGATGGGAAGAGAAATCAAAATGCCAAGCTGGAAACACAGTCCAAGCAAGATGGTTTTTTCAAGAGGGGCAAGTGCGAAGTGCTGCATTTAGACAGCAGTCAACAGCCACATGCAGGGTGGGAAGAACAGCTAGGTAGGACACTCTGTGGAGGATAGCTGAGGGCTGGCCTGTGGCCCACTGGAAGCATCACTGGTCAACAATACCACTGAAGGAAGAAATGGGAAAAAAAGCAGCAGCACTGCTTGCAAGGGAATGGAAGGCAAGGTCTAGATGAAACATCAATATTAAAATCTGGTTGTTGCATGTCCAGTCAGACCAGCTGGAGAAGGGTGAACAAACTTCACTTAAAAGGAAAGCTGGGAACAAATGGGAACCAGTAAAGACTGGGAAGGGACATGAGAAAGGCATTTTACTCTTGTAAAACAGGAACAATTTGTTCTCCATGCGCAGGATGGTAGTACAAGATATAACAAGCTCAAAGCAAAGAATAATTTGGAGGAGGGAAAACAGGAGTGTGTTAAACCCCCAAAACGCAATGGAGGGGTAACCGTGAAGCACAAGGAAAAAAGCTGCTTGAAGGATATGTGGAGCAACCATCACTGCAAGCCTCTGAAAACCAGTTAAACACTGGTCAGAAATAACACACCTGCTTTTGCCCTAGGCCAAATGTGGGACTGTAGCTACAGTATCCTCTCCAGGTTGCTCAGACAAACTTTTGGGCTCATAAACCTTCCTCAGGTCTGAAATCTACTGCTGCTTATTTAAGTTAAATAAAAGTTGCAAACAATTGCTTAGAGCTTAAAGAGCGATACCTTATCTGATGCTTCCAACTAAATGACCTGATCTTACCAAAAAAAAGAGAAAACATTATCTTTACTTACAAATCCTGCTGTGTGTGTATACATATGACATGCACACACACACATACATACAGACACACATACAGATAAAGATGTATCTATTAACACAAGAATGTAAGCACACACCCAGAAGCCTGCTGTTCAAGAACTGACTAAAGCCCCCACTGCGGGCACAAAGTGGCTTCTCAACTGGCCATGCCATTGCTAAAGCTTTTGAGATCTTGGGAGATACTGTACAATAAGGGATTGAATTGTGTCAGGGACAATGTCACAGAACACCAGAGGGGACAAACATGCACAGAAACACAGAAAATCAGGAGTGAAGAAAAGGTGTATCATCAAGGTACCCTTAAGGGAACACAAAGAGACGGTTTGTGGGGATTTACTACAGAAGACATAACACACTCACGCTGGATATTCAGGCACTTTTCCCTTGAAGGCAGGCAGATCACGAACATATTCATTGTACAGCCACTTCACTTTGAAGTGTAAATTCATATAGTCCGCACTTTTACACAGTCTGTGTTTCTCATGCTCTGTAAGGAAGGGAAAAAAAAGCAGTTAGGTCTGAATTTACCATTATCACTACATCAGGCACAGAATGATCTTATAAAGCATGTCCACAGTATGCAACAGGTTTGAGGATGAAGCACCTATAAAGCCACAAAATCTTCACAACAGGATTTTGGCAGCAGGCAGGGGTTCTTGGTGGTTGACTGTTGGGGCTCTGGAGTTTATTTCTGTAGCACCAATTAATACTACCATTTGTTAAAGACTTCTTGGTTGTCAAAGCAATAAAAATAGAGCAACTTCTTATGAGCTTTCCATTTAACATACAGCAGTCCAGATTTCATCTTTGCAGGGAACAAATCAAAGAGAGCAAACTTGTTCATTCTTTGATATAAACAAAGGCAATACCATCATGTTACACTACATCCCCTAAGAGGTAAGAGTAGAAGGCATCAAGTTCTTCAGAGTTTGACAGTGTGAGTCACAAGCAAATTCAAACGAGCTACACAGGATCTGGAGCCTTCCTTGATCCCCAGTTTGGAAAAATTCATGACACTTCTCTTTCAGAAAGCATCAGTTTTCTTATTTGTATTGCCTTCCTGAGCACAGTCTGCTGAAGCGACCCATGGATCTGGACCTGCTGCTGAGCCTCTTCCTCCTGCCAGGTTTCGTTATGGTTTTGTACCCAGGCTAAGTCAGGACAACGCAGTTCCTCCCTGTATAATGCACATACCTCCACAATGCAACCCTTCCTACACACCTATGCTGCTAAAGCACTTGCCACACTCAGAGCTATGTTTCTCCAGAGATCACCTTCCCAGACCACTGTTCCCCTTTCTCTCTCATGAGAAGTGTATGCTCCATGTCTTGGCTCTCAAGGCCCTTCACAGCCTACGTCCACACTAGCATCTTTCAGGAGCTGACTCCCACCTCTTATCAGCCCACAATCCTTGTTTTTAAACTACTTGTTAAGTTCTCCCAAAAGCATCTCAATGCTTTCTCCCAAGCCACCCCTCATGTGCTTACACAGGTAGCTCCTTCTACTCCACTGCTTTTCTTCAAAATCCTCCTTGAAAGGAATAAAATTAATTCCTTTTTCATGATGCTAAGAAGACCCAGCAGCTGGCTTTTGCCTGCACTGCAATCCTGAATTACCATCTGACCAATTCTACACCACCGCTCCCTAGCGCTGCCTGTCCATATCCATCTCTTTCTTCTGCCAAGCTTCAACAGCACAAATACACTTTGTGCCAGGCTTCTTTGTTCACTCTAGCACCGCAGCAAGCCGCTATTCCATGACTACAGTGTGAGATATAAGATTAAAACATACATGACTTTGGCTTAGTTTTTTTTTTTCCCCAAAATGTGACTTCACGCTTGTCTCCCTACATTTTATGTGGTTACCTCATTAGTGATGTAACTTTCCAAGGGCATCACTGCTGACGTGTAGACAGGATCCAACTATGTTAAAAAGTGGAAGTCCTTCTCTTAACTTTGAATGGCTTTAATCTAGGACTTTGGTACAAGTGTCCAGTGACTGGGTAGATATATGTGCATGTCAGCAATACATGCTATAGACACTCATCAGCAGAAGATATGTCTTAATAATGTAAAATGGCCCCAGCTTCCTAATCAGTTACCTGACAGACAAGCTTATCTTACAATATCGTCATTTTCATGTAAATGTGAATTCTTCCAACTATTTCAAAACATTAGGAAACTTCCACATCTCTCTTGAAGCTTCAACAAGATGCACAAGAAGAAAGACTAAATAAATTATAAATTATCCAACTGAAACCACAAAAACCAAAGAACTTTTCATGCATAATTATTCCATAATCCTTGTCAAATCCTAAGCAGTGGAACACTCCAGTGAATTGCCTGCAAAACTCTGTAACAGTGTAATACAGATTTCCGTCTAATTCACATGCAGCAGATCAGCACAGAAGCAATCTCAAAAAAAACAAAGAAAAAAGAAAAAAGAAACTCAACCTTTGCTTTAAATAAATTAAAATGCCTAAAATCTGAGAGACACAGTGATGATGGGGTGTCCCCAGGGGTGATGATTCAATGGACAAATTACTTTACATGTGCTACTATTTCACATGTACTATGATCCATTACTCTCCACAGTGAATTTGCTTATATTGGACCCAAGGAAAGTCCATTCCTGTTTTACAGTAATAAATCTAATATCTTTCTTGAGCACTAAGGAAGTATGAGTATACTCAGTGTCTGAACTGCTGACCTCCCTCAAGAACAACTACAGAAGAAAACACAAAGCTCTCTCCACAGATCTAAAACTGAAAACCAACACAGCAATAACAGTGCCTGCTTAGCTCCTTGTGAGTGAGGAAATCAATGGACAATTATAACTTCATTAACTTTGATAAGCACTGCCACCCAGGCGCTGTGCCCGCATGGGGAAAGTGCTGTTCCTGCAGAGGGATGGTCTGACTTGGAGGTAATAAGGACTCAAATCAGATTTATTTCCTCAAAATTAAGCAGCGTACTAAAAACAAGTGATTCAAGCACTTTCTTATTTTTTTAGGACATTTAAAACACTACTAAGTTGCAGAAGATGAAGACACAAAGCAGCCACAGAAGCCGAAGCCCAAGGACTGCTACTAGACTATCCAGCCATCTAAGCAGTAAAGGAGAGGCTTGACACCAAGGGGATAAAGCTACAGGAAGGTAAAAGAAAGAAGGAGAGGTCTTACCACCATAAAAGAGAACTTTACGTATGCGAAAGAAAGGTGGGGCTTGTAACAGAGAAAAGACAGAGGTGAACTATATCAGCTCAAACATGATGGAGGACAAAGAAAGCCAACAAAGCCCCCAAACCCCCTCATCCCCAACAGCTCATACCACCTGCCTTCCCCCCTTCAATGGGCCCTGCATGGTTTTGATCAGCTGCTTTCTTTGTAAAGGGAAATGGTTAAGAGTGACACGAAAACACACCAGCCAGAGGTATACTTTGAAAACCCATTTTAGAAAAAATAAAGTGAAGAGCATGGGAGCCATCAGTCTTAGCACATTTCTGTTCTGCTTTATAACCTGCTGGCTTTTAAAGAGCTTAGCAGCAGCTACAGCAGAAAAGTGCATAGATATTTTGCAGCAACTGCTGTGTTTTATCCTGAAAAGACCGCAATATTCTGTAAGTCTCTCACATTTCCTCAGCAGATTTCATCTGCAAACTGTCTCCTCCAGAGAAGAGCTTTTAGGGTCACCGAGGCCATATTATTAAGGCATTAATAGGGAACTGCTTCCTAGCAGCACACTTTCTAGTGTCATGTTCAGTCCTATTTTTCAGGCAGAGAACAGGACTTCCATCACATCCTTAATCCATAGACTTTTTTTTCTTTATTCTCAGCCTACTTCCCATGGGTTAATTTCTAGCAAATAATGCCAAATTTCTGCAAAGAAACACTAATAGATACTGTGGCAGTTGAAGTGTTAACACTTTAGACAGCTGGCATCTGTGTGTGCATCTGATCCCCCTTCCCCTTATTAGAAGTGAGAATGTGGCAGAATGATTTATTTCAATCATGCCCGCCAAGTCTACTCATTCTCTCTTCCTGTCAGAGATGCTTCCAATTTGCAACTCTCCTAATGTGTCCAAAATAAGATGAAATGTTGCTGTCAAAGATGACATTGATCTTCTATTACTGTTTTTTAATGTCTTCCTAGTAAAGGAAGAGCAGAAGCCCTCTTTGCTTGGGGTGTTTGTGCTTTCTGGGTCACGGAGTTTTCACAGCAGACAGCAAGAGAACAGGTAACTCCAGTTACCAGTGGGCTCACAAGGAGTCTATCCAGCTGCTGAGCACCGGTCAGCATCCCAGAGGTGGAGCTAACTGTGTGACTTGGAAAAATCTTCCTCTACGCTACAGTGACTCCAGGGCAGCATGCTCTTGCCAGCCAAGTCTGGGCCATACGACATGTCTATCCAATCTGTTTTACTCTTGGGTTGATGGGGATCATGGGACACTTCTCAATGCCTTGCCCTGTACTGCCTTCACCAGCCAGGAGGGAAGAGCCAGGTCTGCTGTTCACTGTGCCCTGAGCTGTCACTGCTTTGGGGATGGAGAAAACAAAACAAGCAGGGTAGATCCTGGAGTTTCCTTCGGGCAGATAAAAACACAAGATAGGTCTGCAGCACACTTGCCTTCCAGCAGTCAAACACACTGCTGCCATGACTATTGCTACCAGCTGCTGAATGTACTTTAAATAGAAAATAGGAGTTCAATTTTTATGGCCTGAACATTTTACACATTAGCAATTTGACTCTTCAGAAGGGGCCCAAAGGACACACGCTGCAGCATCCACAGGCTAGCAAGACTTTTGGTTCTGAAGCCCCTACACACTATATCCTAGGTACAAATTAGCATTTATACATTGCCCTGCACAGGCTGCATTGTGCACATTAGGATAAGCTCCAGCTGGGAGAGGCATGGTTAGCTGCCACTTGTGGGGAAAAAGGAAGACAACTCACACAGCCACGCACTGCTTTCCAGCTCAGAGAAGCCCTCTCCCTCCCACCTGAGCCTCCTAGCTCTCTTCCACACTGCATATTGGACAGCAATGCAGAAGAATCAGGCTGGAAGGAGGAGGGAGCAGTTTCACACAGCCAGGACCAGACTCTTTCTACACCAAAGCCACTGCATGGCCTTTAAGCTAGAAGAAAATTTACTACCACTGCAGAGTGAAAGCGCCAGAGATCCTCAAGCGTCACCCCAGCCAGTAGGGAAGGAACAGAGCTGGAACAGAACATGACCTGGACGTCCAACCTCAGCAATTATTCTTCATCAGACATTATCTACATCTTAATGGCTCAGATACAGCAAAGGGGCTATTGCCCAGAACTGCTCAGCCTACCATCAAAACACAACTGGAGTGCCTACTCAGAACAGGAGTCTCCTTACAGTACATACCCTCCATTTCTGCAGGATGGTCTTCCAAGTCTTCTTTGCAGATTAGCTCCATCACTGCCATAAAACTACAGTACACTAAAGCTAATATTAGCAGCTACATCCGAAGTGCTAAAACTAAGGGTAACAGATGAAAGTCTTTGCCTAGTCACAACTATAAACTCTACCAAGGAGCATGAACTTACCACTTGGTGAGGTGAGTGAGCTCATGTTATCCAGAACTTAGGAACAGAAAATAAGGGAAAACACCATGAACAAAGTTAGAAGCAAGTGCTATACTCTGGGTTCATGTGCACATATCTCCACAAAACAGATTAGCTCTTGTTGCAGAGAGCTCCTGATGCATACGGATCTTGGAGCACACCAGACGTACCTAGGAATTACTCCACAAACTGACAAAGAGAGGAATATGAAACTCTTGGTTAAACTGGTAGAAAAATTAGCAACTCAAACTGAGAAATGACAGAACCAAGAGCCAAGGACAGCAAATCTAATCGTCATCCCTCACATCACTTAATCTGTTTCCTTTAATCCTTTTTTTCCCCTCATTTAAAAGAAAAAAGTAGGGAGATAATTCAATAATCTGTATTTAAAATACATTCAGTGAGGCTGTAATAGAATTATTGTAGAGCTTGTTCTTTAGGTTATTTTCATAAGTTTCTGGAAAGTAAAGCAGTGAGGAATCACTCTTGCCTCAAATAGAATTCTGCACCTTGAGGATTTCTTGAATACATATTTGGAAGAGGCACACACCAACACAGACTCTATCATTGTTCAATCCTCCTGCAGGACTTGTACAGCTAGAGTACAGATACACGTACCACGCAGTTTTTCAGCTTTCATTCAAAATGCAAATCCTTCCCTTTCCATCAGCTGCCTTTGTGTCAACTTTTCTCACTAAGAAATACTTTGAAGAGGGATGCTCTTTCAGCAAGTATTTGCTATGCACTGATGAACTCACAGGTGGAAACATTATGCCAATCCTTGTCTTAAGAAGCTCACAAGTGACCAGAAGGATGTCAGAAAAAGCTAAACTAAGCTCAGATTCTCCAGTGGGGACACAGTCAAAGGGGACATGCTATGAGATGTGAACAGAGAAAACCTGGGAGGCAGACTTAACCCGGGCACTGGTAAATACAGCCATTTACAAGAGAAAAAAAAAAAAAAATCAGTCGAATTGACAGTCAAATTCACACACACAATCAGCTGCAGCTGCATTTTGGATGCAACAGGGAAAGGTAATCCTAGGAAAGTCAGCGACTATATTTGTAGTGTTCCAGTTCTCATGGCTGCTGATAAAGGAGGCACTTTCAACATGTACAAGAGCAAACTGGATTATAAATTCCTGAGGTGAGCACACAGGGGTAAACAAGGACAAAATGGAAAGGGAAGCCAAAATGGTTTGCAGAAGAAAACAGTTTATAGGGAAAGTCAACATTAAGTTATCACAGTTGCCTTATCTCTAACACATGAGCAAGTAGCAACAGTCACTATAAAAGAGACTCTTCAGCATAGTTAGTAGGTCTTGGTCCTTCTTCCCAGTGTCTGTTCTTACATCAACGGGACCTCACAAGACAAAGGCACTGTGGGGTACAAGAGTATATAACGAGTTCCTAACACAGAAGTGAGAACATTTCATCCAGACCTGAAGCCTGCTGAATTCAAGCCTAGAGCAGGCAAAGGGTGTGTGTCTCCCAGCACAGTTTCTTCCCCTGTTGCGTTGACAGAGACTAAGACATAGACGGAATCAATCTTCTTCACTTACAGAGCAACCCCACAGACTGGTCCCGAGGAACAAAATGCAAGAAACTCTGTTACTGGCAGCAGGTTTTTTCCTGAAGAGTCTAACAGGCTGTCAGTCTTATAAGTGAGCTTAGATTGAACTGGGGCAAATGCATTGAGCATAATTTTCTGAGTGACCAAAAGCAGTAACTTGACTTGATTTTGGAATATGAATACAGCTGCCACACCATAGGCAGCACTGGCACTTCGGTTTTATCACAGTATCACCTTACAGATGATCATAAAGCCTGACCTTGCAAAATACTGGGAGAACAACTGCTACCTCAGCTGCAGAGCCAGTAGGAGCTGGATGCTCTCTGAACCTTGGTAGAAGATGATTACATTGTGCAAATGAATTTACAGAACTAAATCCAAGTTCAGAAATGGTAATCAACCATCAGAAGAGTACTACAAGTAGCAGAATTCCTTTCTGGGAGTTTGCTGGGCTCTGCACGCCTAACTCATTTTCAGAAACAGTAAAATTTCTGCTTTACTAGGAATCTGATGGAATTCCGCAAATATTAATTTGAAATGAAGATGTCTGCGGCAGGATTTGTTCTAACAGCGTTTCTGCCAATGGCTTAGACTGTGCTGTATCATGCAGGAAACTATAGCCTTGGCACAACCCAGAGTTCACCTACTTCTCCAGTCCTTTCCACCAGTGTACATTGCAGAATGAAGCTGCTGCTGATAGTTATCCTCAGGCCAAAGTGAACATCTGATTCCAAACCAGCTGGCATGACAATAAATAGCTTGCAACACAGCCTGACACACAGGTCTAGAGCTCATGCAGATCTCAGCCTTGATTCTCACTGACAATGCAGCAGTCCACAAACAAACCACTTGAAATGCGTGCTCCAAATAGTGATGCTACCAATGTGCTTAAGCCTCATTTATACCAAACGGATGAAGAACAAGAGATCAGCAACAAGTCAGCTGGCAGCAGTGAGGAATTCTCTTACCTTCCATGGCATATTTCATATCCTGGGCAAAAAGACTCCACATCACCTCCGCACTAATCTTCCCAACAGCAAGCTCCTGAGGAAACCTGAGGGGACATTTGGGAAAGGCTTTGGCATGTATCAGACCAAAGGGCTCTTCTTTATTCAGCTCTGAGCTAATTTAGACACTTCCTTCAGCCTAGATAAATGATCAGGTGGAAACTGGAGATCATGGACTCATCTCGGTGGCATAGACTAAATAACCTGAAAACAACACTGCTTTTGAGACTGGTTTTAAGCCAAAAAGCCAGGCCCTGGACGTCTCTCCTAGAAGAGACGCATACAACAATTCTAGGAATATGATCTCGATGACTTTGCACCTTTTCCCCCTTTTTTTGGCAATTTTCTTTTTCCTTTTTCTTTTCTTTCTAGGGTTATTAGGCTGACAGGTAAACACTAATCTAGTGTCCCCGCCATGTTACATCAATGATCACTAGGGCATAATCCAGATCTTTGTGCATAATAACTTATCAGACATCACTCTCTCTCCTGCCCTGTGGCACTGTTGGAGGAGTACCCAGGTTCCTGTCCAATGCTGTGCCAAACCCACCCAACGCAATCTCCTAGTGCTGCACTGACACCATGTTCCTAAATCACAGCATAAGGTGTCGTCACCATGGCACCACTGTGTGCATCAATATGCATCTCAGAACTGCTCAACATCAGAAAAAACCAAAAGAACTCTCACCCCTTTTTCAGGTGCCTCCCTGAGTTCAGGATTGTAATAATCAGGGTGTTTGTGCTCGAACGCCATCGTAACTGAACCTTTTGAAACTCCTCCATCCCAATCAAAAAGAGTTATTTATATAGACAGAGACAGATAAGACAGAAAGACAGACAGACAAGATAAGTACTTCTATAAATACACAAGTGACAGAAGAGATAGAAAGCAGTTGAACAAATAAAGCAGAACACACAGAGACTAGAATTAGCCACAGAGGACATGGAAGATTCTTACTGATTCAGAACTGGGGTGTAAGAATTCTTGTCTTCTTCTATGATGGAAACTATCAAAGTGATGAGCTTGGGCCAGAAATCCAGGTTCCTGATGCTGGGGCCCTGTTCCTCAGGAGGAAGGTCCTGATTTTTGTTCTGGGAAGCAAGCCATTAGAAAACCAGTGTAAATTTAATGGGGAAAGAAAAATCTGGCAAATGTAGATCACCATACTAACTCCAAGCACTAACTATCTGTGGACCCCTTCTTCTGAAGAGCTTACAATTATTAATGTTTGCTGGCAGCTTGCGCGATCTAATGCAAAACACAGTAACATGCCAACATGCCAAACCATGTTGTTTACCAGTGGCCTCAAACCCAAATAATCTCTGTTTTGTCATTTACCATGTCAAGAGCAGGTCAGGCTCCAGGAGACCTGCTGAGACAACATTTGCTCTAAACTTGTTCCAAATACTTGCTTTTTAGGCACCTAGGTTGATGACTATATCCACGTTGACACATTGTTCATGCATTACTACAGAACGGCCAGCAGAGCTTTCATGGATTTGAAAACAGCTTGTGCCTAGAGGTACCTTATAAGCCCAGTGCAGGACACTGGCTGCTAAAAAACAAGATAAAATTTCACTGCTTGAGGTTTATCTATGCTAAAGACAGTTTTCTTGATCAGTCTACATTTGCTCTAACTGGCTTTTGCTCACTCAAAGCTGCATCAAACCTTCCCTTCACAAATAACTGAAAATAAAATAGCTGAGGCCGGCAAAACAAATTGTAATTAGTTAATGTGAAACAATTATCATCCTCCACTTACTAATTAGCGCTCATTAATTGATTACAAGTTTTGTGCATTCAGAAGATAACAAGTCACATAATTCTGTTTGTGTTGGCTTTTTCTATCAACCAGTATTCTTGTTACTATCTTAAGAAAATCAGAAACTTAGATTTCTGCCTGCTTATCAGCTACTTACAGGATCTGTCTGGTACTCGCGACTGTACAGCTCATGACAGTTGTTGAAAATGTACTCATAGGTGGAGTTGAGGCAAGCTTTTACACAGTCCTTCACTACCTGGCTGGCTCGGGGTGGACTCTGCAGCTCTTGGACCTGGCAAGGAGACAATAAAAAGAGTCAAACAAAGCACTGCTCATAAATTGAACAGGGAAAGAACAAGTCACTGGTTTGGGAACTACCCAGGACCTGGTGGATGCGCTTTCGGCAACTTGCGCTATCAGTGACCTGAAACCATGCGCGGGCTGCTCTCCCCAGGCCTAAAACAGCAGTGACAATTCTTATGTCCCCGCAGAATCATTTGGAGCATAAAAGAGATTTTGAAGTGCCAAGGAAGATTCTTCACAATAAATCAATCACGTGGCTCGATATGTGTGTAATCTGAGCCAAGCACACACAATTTCTACTAAATTTATAGAATTTTGCTATGAAGCCAGAGAGAAATCTTTTCCAACACTGGAAGAACGTGCAACAGACCAGCGGAGCACATTACACCCAATCTGGAAAGTCCTACTGAAGTCCAAACACTCGCATGCCTTTAAATACAAAAGCTTTCTTTAAGGACATCATCACAAGCTTTATTGAATTTTAAAGCACACCAGAATCCTTAGGGACATGGCAAGTGATAAGCCTTCTCCTCTTGCAAAAACAGCTCTTTTCATTATTTCACTGTCACGTTGTTTTAGAAAAACTCTGCACGGTGACTTTAGACTGAACAGATATGCAGGCATTGCCTTGCGAATAAACTATAACCTGAGACAATTTTGATATTGCCCCTACTTCTAAAATTATCAGAGTGCTTCTATAAAGCAAACTTCCAATACAGATGTATCATCTCAATTAACACTTTCAAAACAAAGTTCCAAACCGTCATTTACCCTAGGGCTTAAGAGTAAAATTTCCAGAAATAGCTCAAATTAAAGACTTTCTTTGTTTTGATAAGATAAAAGTTACTAATTGATATGCGCTAAACTACATCAGTATTTTCAAAAAGTTTAGAAACAAAAATCAATAATTAAAAACAATCTCATTACACATTGCTAGAACAATAAATTTAACTACCAAACCAGCACATTAGCATTCATAACAACTCTCCTGGATCTCTACTGAGAGATAATATCCCATTTCAGTATCCTACCTTCCAAGAAATAAACTTTAAAATATCTACTAGATCAAAGATGGTGAAGAGATGGTAGTGACTGATAAACATTGGAGACAGTTTTATTAGGAAAAGCTCCCCAACGCCATTAACAAAAGCAAATTATCTTCCTAAAACCAGACAATTTTCTTTTTTGCTCTTGTTTTTTTAAAATTATTTTGTGCTACATTTATGGATTAAGAACCCCAGGTAAAAAACAATTTTCATTTTCATGATGCAAAAAGTGAAGTAAAGATAAAACGTGGATGCTTATTTCATGGTCAGCAGATGATCTCCATTTTCCTTAAAGCACAGCAACATGAAACAATGTTTTGAAAACGGGAAACCAACTCCTGTGGCAAAAACTGCAGAGGCCTCATTCCCATCCCCACCCATAACACTACCTTCATCCTGAAAAAAGTGATGCTGGTCAGCAAATCCACTGTAGACTTCAGGTCCTGCAGGCGTTCGCGGCTGCTGGCTGGGAAGTTATTCTGTCGATAAAAAAGGGAAATCCTGTTGGAAAGCACAGTCAGATCCATGCAAGGCTTCAAGCATGTGCTAAATAAGGAAAGTGTCTTGGAAACATTTCCTGCTCGAAAAGCTTGTACCAGTCAAAACAATGCTCAATAAATAGGGCCTTTTTGCTGCAGAAGCTTATCTGTTTGCTTAATTAAACAGCTTCTCATATGGATGTAAAGTTTGTGGATGCCAGGAGGCTGACAACCCTCGGTGGCAGGAGATCTCTCCTTGGCTATAGAAGGAGCAGGCAGCAAAAGCAACAGCCTTGCCACTGGGAGCCCCGGCATCTTGTTGGGGTTGCTTGTGCAGCCCAATTCCTTTCTGCACTCACTGCCTGATTTTTTGGCTTCTCTTCTGAGACATCAAGAGGTGTGGTGTATTAGCAACCTGTCCAGAGAAATAAACTGGACTGAGAAGGGTAAACGAGCACTGTTCACTGTAAGAAGTCACTGTAACCACTCAGTCCCATGTAAGATCCATTCTGCCAAGCATGTATCCTTCAGTGCCTCCTTGGCTCTAATGCATTATTTTAAAAACTCTGCCTACCACCCCACTGTCTGTAGCCACAGATTCCTCTTCCACTCCCTGGGTTCCACTGAAATTAGAAGTCTTATTGTTGCTTCCAGATATGATAAAAAATATGTGTGTGTATGTATATATACATGTATGTAAATGCATATGCTGAATGCAGCAAGCTTTGTTTCTTGGAAGGGACTGTACCCTTTCTGACCCCAGGCACTCTGCCCTTTCCTACATTCCCGTTTCTTCCCTTGCTGTGTCCTTTAACAGCATGCACGTTCCTCAGCACTTCTTACATTCAAGCTGATGAGATTGGTTTTGCTGCAAGTAAATTAGCAAAGGCAACCTTCACTTGGACAGTCTCTTCATCAAAAAATTACTAGAGACAAAGGTAAAAAGAGGAGCAAGTTTTCATTTATTACTGAGGACTTGCAGAAAAACATGCCGTCCCTTAACAACAATTGAGCATTGCTGCAGTTCAGCTAAACACTGCAGGCAATTTAATGTTTTTTACAGCCATTTATAGATGCTCATTCCTAGACAACTCTCTTTTTAAAGTTAAGCTGTCCATGCATGGACTCTCTGCCACTCAGGGAATTTACCAAAATCAAAGAGTTCCATGGGTCAAGATTTAATCACAAACCATTGGATGAATGTTCGGGACAGAATGCCTGTTCTTGATTAGGAATAATAATCAGGAAAAGACAACATTATATTGAAATTCAACCTGCTCTATGCTTATGGCAGCTAGCTACCAACCAACAAAAAGGACAACTGACATGCATACAGAATAACTGTACTTGCTCACAAAACACTTTTCAAAAAAATTATTGAGCTGGTGACTTGCAGCTACTCTTGAGAGGGTTCCACCTCTCCCCTCTTCACCTGCCACACCACCCTGGAGGGAACACACATTGGTTTGACACAGTATTTTTCACAAACCCACACTGCTAGTTATTCATTGTTTTAAGCATTCACAAATAGCTTGATTAAATTAGAGGAAGGAGGAGGTTCAATCTGAGTTTAAGTCGGGTAATTTAAATTGTAAATTGCCATCTCCTGTCTTGAAAGCTGGACACTAACACCTTTTTCTTCCAGACCTTAACCTGCCCTCAGAGGTCTTAAAATAATCAGTAAGAGCTCCCAAATTGCTTCAGCCATTTCTCTAAATATTCTGCCAGTTAGATAACATCTATATTATTTAAACTACACAAATCTTTCTTAGTCCTTTTACCTAAGATCTCACTTGTTTGCCAAAGGTTTAGTTGCATCAGCCATGGGAAAGCAGCTTTTACTGAAGACCCACCAAACAAAAAAGGCATAACCACTACAGATTCTTACTGCCATGTGTTGATAATTTTCCTTCTGCTACTCAGAGGATCAGTGATCTCTTTAGACCTTCTCTTACTAGTAATGTAGTTTTAGAATAGCTCTTTACACAACATTCCTTTTATCTTCTTTTGCACCTTGCCCTTTGTCCTTTTTGTTTGTCTTCCTATTTCACTTCTCCTCTTAGTCTGCTTGTTTCCCTCCTCTATATGCTTTACTGTGTTTCAGATAAATGCACCAGAAGAGGATCTACTCTTAAATAAATAAATAAATAAATATTCAAAACTCACATTTTGCCACCATTTTAAAATTTTTTAATAATGAATTAGTCACTAATTAAAATAATATAGCAAGTAATTAAAAAAAAAAAAAAGCCAAGTAACATGATAAGACTGACTCTGGAGTAGCAAAGAAAGAAACTAGAGGGTTTAAGAAGCCTGATAGAATGAGGCCAACATTTGAAACTCATCTCTTCCCAATGTCCTAAAGTGTAGGGGGGATCTCAACCTGAGAGCACATCTTGTAGATCCAAAGTCAGGGACAGTGACTCGAGTTTGCCAAACCCAAAATAAGTGACAACATGGCTGCAGGTCTTTTCTGCCTTACTAGGGGACAGCAAGCTTGTCTTCCCTTTCTAGATACTACCTTGAAGTAGTTGATAAGAATAATTCAAATTAATTAATCCAATACAGCTTTCATTTCTGGTAGAGTATCAGAGATGACCATAGTTCACAATCTTTAAATTACTTCAGAAGTCTTGAGAAGGTTATAATGGAAGAAAAAAAAATGGTCTAAGTTCTACCCACGAGGAAAACAAAACAGTGCTTAAGCAAAAAGCTTGTCATGACAATTTCGGAAGACACAAGCTACCCAAAAGGTTAGAAAAGTAAGAGAAATCCAAATGGTGTGTTTCCCCTCTGCCTACCAGAGTGCCCTAAAGGATTCTGTTTATTCCCACTCACCCTGTACATTGAGAGATCAATCCGAAGTGAATTATGAAGCTGGTCCAGAAGCTTCACAAATCGTTCTTTCTGTCGAGCAGAAAACACCAACAAACATCACATATCATCACAGTCCAACCGATGTTCAGAGTAAGCAGCAGGGTATCATGGAATCAGTGTCAGATCTCAGGAGAGAGGGAGGAAGCAATATGGATGCATGCTATTGTGCAACACTATTTTCTTTCGATTCTTGGATTTACTCTTATACTGTAATTATTTCTGAAGTCTGTGTAACATTAGAATAGTCAGAAGAATACTCCATTATCCCTCTGAAGTAGAGGCAGAACAAAAAACCCTCTGATCTCTAGTCTGCAATTTGTACCAAACTTATATTTAAGAGAAAACATTTATTCAGAGATTAATAAAGAAACAGGCAGAAAAGGTTCTAACTCAGCGCAACAACACAGCTCCAAGATCTTATCTATTATTTCAGTGACAAGGACTACAGGCTTCTTGTGACTATCTTCTCGAGGTCAGGTCCCTACTGGATTCTGATTTGGCGCTGTGAACACCTCCTCATTCAGTCTATAAATTCTCAGACTGATGTGAAGCACGAGCTTTTCCAAATACTTTTCCAGCACGCTCAATTCCAACACATGCTGTACGAAAAACATTTTAACCATTAGGGGGAGAGACTTTTTTTGTTTTCTCTTAAACGGTTGCTGTTTTTCAAAACAACGTTCTGAAACTATCAGATCACACGTTATATTTTATCAACAGCATCACCACTCAGAGTTTAATATTATTTGCTCATTCCATATGACCTGTGCTCCAGTCTAATTCAAACACAAAGAACAGACATCACTCTGCATTACACTGATTAATATCTAAAATGTGTGATGATTTCAAGAATAAAATAGTCCTCTTTGTCTAGTCTGGAAGAGCTCCACAGCTTCCAACTCCTCACAGATTTAATGTTCCTTAAACAAAACAAGTTATTTATTGAAAGGCAGAAGCATGAAGGCAAATTACAGAAGTCCACTTGTAGCATCACCAAACATACCCCAAAATTGGAGGCTGCAAAGCGGTCCGAAGCAGACACGTTTGTGGAGGCAGTGGTGTGCGCATAATAAGCGTTGATATTGGCAAGTAAGGTGCTCATCACAGCTGGCACGCCTGGGCACATGTATTTAGAGGAGAGACATGCAAAATGCCTGCAAAAGGACAGTTCTGTAAGTCATTCTGGTCTCTTTTGTGTAGCACAACTTGACCCTATCCCTTTGATAGCCCCCTTGCTCTGACTGGCACCATGAACAGATCAAAGTTATGTTTTCTCCCTTTCTGTAAATCTCCAGCATCTCAGAGGTTTTTCATAAAGATGCCATCTAGACAACAGATACACTCAAAATGAGAGAAATCCCGTCACTACAGCCCTTGATCATGAAATAGCTTCTCAACTATTTGCTCGCAACAGCTTTTGACTTAGATGATACTTTGGGTCCTGATGTCATTTCCTAGAACCAAGCCTGACACAAGGAAATCTATATAATTTGCTGCCACTGGAGGCAGCCACAGGTTCTGAGGTGACATGAGGCAACGGCAATTAGAAAGCCTTCAAGCACAGGAAGATCACATACTAGTATTTCTGCACATACTAGTAGTTCTGTGCTGCATTGATATGTGATTCCTGAGGGCTAACTGTTCCAGCCTGCAGGAAACACCACACTCATTTGCATTTTCCCATTTAACTGCTCTCATTAAAGTGCAAGGAAACCTCCTGCAGGAAATCTCAAAATTATGCCAGAAGTGTCCCGGCTTGTGAAATGATTAAACAATCAAAGAAAATCTGTCAGACATAGGGGAAAAAAAAAAATCAGAGCTTAATAGGTCTGATATTATGGGACATGGCAAGTAAAGTTCATTCCAACAGACAGGAGAGCTAGGCCATTTTTAAGCAGGAATCCTCATGGAGCTCCCAACCTAAATTTGGGAACTACTTTCTAAACATTGCTTTCTCCCTAAGGGACTCATAGAATAGTTTGGGTTGGAAGGGACCTCTAAAGGTCATCTAGTCCAACCCCCCTGCAGTGAGCAGGGACATCTTCAGCTGGATCAGGTTGCTCAGAGCAACGGCCAACCAAGCCTTGAAAGTTTCCAGGGACAGGGCTTCTACCACCTCTCAGGGCAACCTGTGCCAGTGTTTCACCATCCTCACGGTAAAAAATGTGTGCCTTACATCCAGTCTAAATCTACCCTCTTTTAGTTTAAAACCATCACCCCTTGTCCTATTGCAACAAGCCCTACTAAAAAGACTGCCTCTATCATTCTTGTAAGCCCCCTTGAAGCACTGAAAGGTCACTATAAGGTCTCCATGGAGCCTTCTCTCGTCCAGGCTGAACAAGCCCAACTCTCTCAGCCTGTTCTCATAGGGGAGGCACTCCAGCCCTCTGACTCATCACAGGTATTAGCTCCTGTGGTAATTAACCTACAAATAATTATAACCAAAAAAAGCTCCAGTGAGGGAATTTTACAGGAATTCACAACTCATTCTATGAGACAAACATGATACTGATTCCTGAATGTTAACTTGCTTGTTGCATGATGCCTGTGTACTAACTGGTCATTTAGCACTTGGTAAATAAAGACAGACACATAAAATGGCTTTGTTCAGCTTGAAGAAGAGAAGGAGTGAGGAGTAGGGATCTAATCCATATCTTGACTACTTAGCAGAGAGGGGAGGGTTAGTGAGAAGACTGAGACAGGCCAAAATTGTTTTAGAGGGAAGATTAAAAGATAAGCAGCCTTATGCAGCAGTTACAGCACAGGCAATCCAAAGTAGGATTTCCCAGTTTGGATTTCTACCAGGCATTTCTTCCCCAGAGTAACAGAGCCTGAGGACAGGAGGCCAGAGAGGTGCTGGATCTCCATCTTTGGAAATTTTCAACAAACTGAAAGAGGCCCTGAGCAGTCCAGTCCTACTTCCAAGTAAGCCCTGCTATAAGCAGGGACTAGACCTCCAGAGGTACCTTCCAATTCTTCTCCACTTCAGCTTAAATCAATAGGCAGAAAAGGTGTTTGCAAGATGACAAAAGCACAGATCATATCTCACCCAAGGACCCAGATCCCAAAACTTTCAGCTTCTAACATGAAAAAATTCACTTTTGTCTGCTATATTTAATATTACATTTGAAATGAGAAATGAGCTAAGCATAGCACGACTAGTCTTTAAGATGAAGAATGGCTAATCCCAAATCCAAGAAAAAGTACAGTGACAAGGAAAATGCTCTTTGAAGATCAAGAACTGCATTAGCCTAGCTGCAAAGAGGACAAACCAGTGGCTCCATTACTCAAACTTTCTACAAATGCCTTCAGCAGCACCTTGGAAATTAGTGACTTCAAAGGACTTATCAATTGCCAAACAGACACATAGGACAAACACTTTCACAAAGCCTCATCCCTTCTCATATCATCAGAAATCTTCAGCTGGATCCTCAGACAATACGTTTTTAACAGAAAAGTGCTCAAATGGAGATGTTAGTCTTAAAACAGGAACAGCTCATCTACCAATAATAAAACAAGGTCATTTACACTACTGAAGTTGGTGTAATTCCTTAGAATTAGTTTTAAAGGTGCTCACACAAACTGCACATAAACTGCTTAGATAGATGCTTAATTCCACCACTTTGTCAGACCTTAATTTCTAGACTTTGAGGAAACAAGTGATTCAGAGACAGGCAGTCTCTTACTGCTCACAGTAAGCCCCAAAAGGAGCAGTCAAGCCCTCCACTACCAACACATTTAATCTTCTAAATATTAACAGTTGCATCAATTAGTTACACCAACTATCTGCACTAAAGACCACATGAAATACATCGTACGTCATGGCCTGGTATATTGATTCAATGCCATAACGCATTGCAAATTCATCCACGATCTCTTGAGCCGTCTCATCAAAATACACCTTCCAGGCATCATCTCCTTTGGCATCAGGGATCTTCACCACCCCACTCCCTTGCACATCTGTGAGATGGTGAAAGAGGTTCTGAAATACAAAATAGGAACAAAATTATACTTGAGGCTGCTGAAGCCTCTAGGTGAGTTTCATGAAGAGCTTGGAACCACTGAGAAGGCACTAACACAGATTTCTTTACTCTCCTCCCTCTTTCTTTCCCCCTAACCACTATGTAATTTTCTGGTTTTACCTTCTTTTCTTCTTGAGTTCTCCTAGCTGAATATTTTGCATGCATACCTACGAATTTACCCAGCACTGTGAACGATACAGAGGAGTGCTTCAATGCAGTGAAACCACAGACTAATTAGTTTCCCAAAACCTACACATTTCTGTCCTCAGAATGAAATGCCTTAAGATGGACACGCTATTTAAAGTGGCTGACGTAACAGCTCTGTATCAGCTTTGTAATTACTATTATACAGCAGAACAGTGCAAACAGATTTTTTTTTTTTCTGAAAAGAACATCCTTAAGATCACTCCTAACAACTAGACACTTGCATTATTATTCAACATAACCTTTCACTCTATCTTACACTGCAAGGGCTTTCAGCTATCATTGCTGTGCAGAAATTGCACATTCAGTTCAGTGGGTTTCTCAGTAATCCTCAAATTCACATCACTTACAGATTCATCAGCCTTTCAGACGGCTGGCTCCCTGTAGTAAGGGATGCAAAAGTCTAACGATCACATTATGAGCTAGAGGACTTTGCTTTCCGCTACTATTTTTCCTGATTAAATTATTCTAGCTGTAAATCACCTTCATTTTATGATACATAAATGAAAGAAGGCGATGCTTTAAAAGAGACATATTTGCAGAACAGAAGGGCAGCCAGTGATCATGCACGTTCAGGAGGAAAGAAACGAAACAGCTTACCAAAGAAAAACCATCACTGAATTAAAAAACAATAAATATGTAATGAAGGACACAACACAGCCTACTAAAAGAAGCATACTGATGTTTTTCTAAGCTTTGTATCTGTCTGTTCCCTGGTAAGGCCAGAAGACACCACAAGGCCCATCTAGCCCAGCATCTGAATACACGTGTTGTTTTCGTAGCTGAACATTCCTCTCGGAGACGCATCTGTCCTCCTTTTCTAATCTGACTTTGCTTAAACCTCACTGGACCTCATGACATTCTTGTACGTCAGGTGAAAAGGTCTATGACTACTCTCTTATTCAGGCACTTAGAGATTGACCCAGCCATCTGCCTTCTCTTTGATAGATAGTCTGTGCACCATGCATCTCTCCAAGGCAGGGTTTTCCCTTTACTTATTGTCACAAGTCATGTTTTGGGTTTCTCTCAACCTCTGCAGCACTGCGAGCCCAGCTCAGTCCACTCTGAGACAGGTCAGTACCCAGTAATAGCAGCTTAACTTCTGTTCCCCAATGTTTGTTCACAGCTACACACCAGTGCAAGAGGTAAAGAAGAATTTATACCGTGTATATCTGCACCACTCAACAGCCAGAGTCAAAACCCTCCCCAGATCAGAATCTACTCATAAAGCATTTTAGTATGCCTTCTCTAAAGACAGACATAGGTACAGTACATGCTCAAAGCATAACTCAAAGAAATCCAGAGGTTTCTCCACATTAAACTTTGGAGGGCTCTGAGTTGGACCAATGCCTGATCTCTGCCTGACAGCAGCACAGCTGTGACATTGGGACAGATTGAGCCAGCCAGCCGCCAGCATGGCAGGGAGAGTCTAAAGCCTTCTTTGCCTCTCTCAACAAATGTAGGTCTGACAATTCAGCGTGTTTCCAGGCCTGCATAGCAGGGAGAGGAAAGCTCATCTAGGGCAAGGAGTAACATTTCAAGGAAATAAGGTCAGAAAATCACTTCTTCAATAGACAGGAGGAAAATAGTGATAAGAGAGCTGAACCCGCTGCTTACCTCGTGAAGGCAAGTGTACTGAATATGATATGGAGCCACCTTCTCCTCGCCTTTGATCTCCACGCTGATTTGCAGGCGAATAGCCCCTGACACTGCAGACTTATCTGTTCGCTTCTCTAGAAGGAAAAATCATCAACTATTATATGCATTGTTCATGTTCAGAGCAGAGCCATCCTGAGGTGACAACACTCAAAAAGAAACATGCAGGAAGCTCAGACTGAGCTCGTAATGAGAGTTACCATGGAGAAAACTTTCTGACTGTTTTCTTTCAAAACATTGAATACTAAGTAGACATCAGCAAAACAACTGCCATAATACACCCTCAATATGACATAGCTAGCTAGAACTATGTACATTTCTACATCTAAGACAGCCTTTCTGACAGCAAGTGTGCTACACAGTCTTGGATTCAGTCAACTGAACTAGAAACACCAAGGACAGACCCCTTTTCTGAAAATGGGGCTGATGTGGAATTTGTTCCTGACTTCGACATAGTCCTGAGATCCTGGGAATTGCTGGTTGTCCCTATCAAGAAGAATTTGGACCTCCTAGGATTATTACTATGCCTGTCAATTCAGCACCATCTGGTTACTTGCCAGACCTTCTACAATGTTCTATTTTGGTCACTGCAAAAGGTCTCGACAACTTCCCAGGCCAGTGCACTTGCAGGCCTTACAGACTGGTAAAATGCTTGTGTTGACACACAAAAAAGGGCACAGGCAGGAAACATCTCTACAGCACAAGTGAAATCCAATCCTGCTCCAAGTATTTTACCCATAGTACTTTTCAGTGCCTGACAGGGAAAATCCATCACCCTCCTGACATATTACATTCTTCTTCATTTTAACTGCAAACAAAGCCTTGCAGCTGCTCCGCAGCACCATCACATGCCCCTTGAAATCATATGGGATTTTTTTTTTTCCTTTCTTGCAAACTGCACAGATGCTCCCAAGCACTCTCAAACATTCCCGAACTAAAACGTGACATGTTTTCAATCTCAAAGACCTGCTCACCAAGGTTGTACCACACATCCATTTCTCCGCTCAGAGTACGGACTTCAATGATTGTCTGCCCCAGGAAATCATCCGACTCGCGTTTCAGCCTCTGCTTGACACGAGACTTGATGTCATCATCTTCATCCCATACTCGCACCTTGATCCGGTCAGAAGAATTATGGCACTCACTGCAAACAAGACAAATGTAATGTTGAAAAGCACATAATGCAGCCAACATTGATATGCTACATGATCGATACGCTACATGCTTCACATTCCTCTTGACCCGCTTGTCCAACAGTAGAGAGTTGCATAAACAGAATGTAAACAAACAACTATTTATTTAAAAGTGGAGCATCTGACAGGAACTACACAACTTTTTGATGCACTCTAAACACTCCTGTGACAGGGTACATACTGCACTTCAGAGGCATGCTGAAGGAGTGCCCTGCCCTGACTGCAAACACCAACTTCAGGCTTGCTGAAGTTGGCTGTGACTCTCCTGCTCATCCTCACTTTCAGCAGCAGCTCCCTGAACTTGTAAATTCTCTTCGCTGTTGTTGCTTTTGCCGTGAAGCCCACAAAATCCTGGTAAACTCAGCATACACACAGTAAAAATGCTGATGAGCATCTCACTGGTTTTTGATAGCTCGCCCCATCAATGAACTTCCATTCAGCTGTAGGCATTAAAGGCTACTTGTGTTTACGCGTATGCAGTCTCTAGCACAACATGGCCAAGACCTATGACAAACACCATTCATGCTATTTTCTAATAAAAGATAATTAGCTCAGGTGGAGGTAGCACTCTTAAAGATAGTCACAAAGCAGTAGTGTATTAATGTACAATACATTACAATCAGATGATATAAACACTGCCTGTGCCTGGGAGGAAAGGGTCGGATACAGTAGTTACAAATTTGGTATTTAATTACTAGAATTGATTCTGCCTATTATTCAAGGCTCAGGCTCACACTTTGTGCTCCAAACAGATCAGTAAAGACATCTCCATTAAAAAAAGCAGTTTACTATTTGCTGAATCACCACCCTCTAGCTTAATACACAGGCAGAATTTGCAGCCTTCCCCTCTTTTTAGGTGTTCAGATACCTTTTGTTCATCCAAACAGGCTCCTGGATGTCAGAAGTGGGTAGAAGAACCTTATTATAAGAGCTGTGCGCATTTACAGAGCATGCAATACAATAGAGCAATCTGAATGCTCATATGAGACCATGACAAGGGTGATTATTCACCACTACCACTACAAATGTCTGCCCTCAAGGAAATAAAACCTATGACAACAGGCAACTTATACTGAAGGCCTGTTTTCCAGCCTTTTTAACATTAACATACTGCATCTGTTGCTAAGCAACAGGGAGAAAAAAGAAATGGGTCAGCGGAGATCTGCTAAGCCTGGTCAATAAGATGTGGCAGTGACTGGTATTTGCCTGTTCTCTACCAAGAAACCATTTGGGCTCCTATTGCCACCATTGTGATTCAGGACTGCTTAACAGACATCCATGCAGCTCCTATGAATTTTTCCAGTACAGAGGAATAGCTGGGAATTATACAGAGAAACTTAGAGACAATTCATTGCAGTTCTGATCACAGGCAAAGAGCATCACTGCTCCCTGCCTTTGCTGTGCAATCAAAGCTGTATTTAGAGTTCAGAAGAAAGAAAAGTTCAATGTTTCTCTCCTGCCTTTATTCCCCCCTTCCTTGTCCTCCACTTCAAAGACGTCTTCCTTTAACAAAACCATGCAGCAAGCATTCACAAGCAGGGAATGCTTGGACTGCTGCTCTTTGTAGCTTTCAAATTTAACCGAGTGCATTGCCATATCTACCAGCAACACACCATGAGCACATAAAATAAATCCTCTGTTCCTGACACAGGGGACTAAGGTACATCCTGGAAGTACCATAGAGGATCAGTGTTCAGAAGCGCTGATGGGTGCTGAAAAACACAAATTGGCACACAGTGCCAGTTACAAAACATCAGCAAGTTAGCTCCTGACTTCTTCAGACCTCACCTTCTGGCACACCACTTCTTTGTTAGATCACTTTGATCTTGTTTCTTTGCTACCAATGGTCAGAAACTTGCTCTTTCCTTTAGGAAAACATTCACTGTTTAGATCTAAAACCTACCTGAGGCGGCCCTATATGCATCATCCGCTCCTGGAGCGGCTGGCTATCATCCTTCACTCGGCTACAGCAGCACAACTCACTGCTCAGTGCTACAGGAAACTTCCCAGCAGCATTTACTGAGCTACTGAAGCTTCTGCTTTACCTCACCTTTCTCTGTCGTTTTTAAGAGACTGCTTAATGCATATTCCTTGTGCATGCCAAAGTGAGCCTTATCACTTGCTCACAGCAGCTGAAAGCCTTGGGCTGGTGGCTTAGCCATAAAACATCATCATTTAAGTCTGTAGAAACCACAGTCATTGCTTTTGGTGAAGCAAGACAGTTGTGTCAACATGAGTTCACCTTCCAGAGAGCACCCCAAAACAGAACCACGAATACTGGGGGACTTGGGCTGGTTGACCAATAGCAGCCTTCCTAACTAATGAGAAATAACTTCCAATTTGTGACAGCATCACAAGCCCATAAGACTGTGGCTAACAAGCTCTGCTGCCAGAAACTTTCTTCTTCATTAAAAAAGGAGCTGGCACATTTCTAAAGATGCCTGCCCCATTTCTTGCCACATTTTTGTGAAGCTTGATTTCACTGTGTGCATGCACATGCCCATCCAGTCTCCCACAGCTGAGCTCCCACAGCTTTCCCATGAGGACGCAGAGAGAAGAAATACTCTGTGACCCCATTGCAAGGAAGAAACTACCAAATGCTTTCAGGCCCATTTCAGAGTGCAAGGGACTGGAAACCAGGTTCCCTTTGTACATGGCTCAAAAATTGTCTCTTTCTTTTATATCTATATTGTCCTGCTGTTTGCAGTGGTGTCATTTTTATAAAGAACTTACTGTTATACTTCAAGCTACCAAATAATGTAACATTTTCAAGAAATAGCACACTGTATCTTCAAGAAAAATTAAAATCAAATAAACTTTTTTTTTTTTTTTTTAAACATGAATGTCTTCTGCCTAAAGCCAGTGGTTGCAGGAGCAGTGGAAGGAGCTGAGTCAGGTTCTGCTAACTTGCTCTCTTATCCCACACTTCACCTCAATCTCTTCTGCCACGCTCTGCTTTGGCCTTACCCAACCCCGAACCACCAGTCCACACACACGCCCCCTGCACTGTCAATACTCTGGCCTCTTCCCATGCTTAGCTAGCAGAGGAGAAGCACGCGAGCACACGAAGCTTGCTTAATTCTGGTCTGCACACACAGTGGCATGCCCACACACAGGCTAATTGGTATATTGGTGGCTAAACAGAACAGGCAACTGCTGAATTTACACTATAGTGCCTCCCACAATGAAGTTAGCAATTTGTATCCTTGTAATCTAGCTCCAACTTCCACAAAAAAAATTGTAGAAAGTGGTTCTTAGTTCTGAGACCTCTGCCCATATGTAAAGGTTGGCTCAGATGATATCAGGGGTCTGGGACAGAGTATTGCATATGCCTTGTCTCCTCCAAAAAGTGGAGAGAGAAAATGGAGAAGTGTCTAAAACTGACCAGAACACCATTTTGGAGCTAATGATTCATACTTTGAGGTAAAAAACCCAATGACATTGACTAATCATATGCCACTTGTGCTTAACAACACTTGCAGGACTGTTACTTAACCTCCACAGCAACCCAAAGCCAAAGTGATAAGCTTTGTCAAGTTGTGGCAACACTGACAGTTTTCAAAAAGTTCTACCATAAAAGATACAAAGGTATACCTATAAAACCATGTATCTAGCAGTTCATAAAATGATCTCTATCCACAGTAAAGATAGTAAGTGTAAAGCATAGGGAGTGCCAAACTGACAACCTGTAACCTTCGACACCATCAGCTCACGTTGATGAAGCTACACTCGTGAAGACAAAAAGAGTCTAGTAAATAACCATATGGATGAACGTCCATTTGTATGATATCTGCATGGACACCTTTTTCCCAGAAAATTTCTCATCTCAAGAAAGGTGTTAGCAACACATTAACCCTGCAGGACTCACCCAGCCCTCAGTTTCATTCCACTAATGCTGCAGCAAGACCTTGACTGTGCTTCTCTAAAATGCACTGTGCAGACAAGAGAGGTGGGATGTCAACATGACCCTATCACTCCACATGCCCATTTTACTTTTTCCTTAAATTATGCTATTTTCTTGTATTTTCTGCCTGAAGAACATCAAAGCCCAGAGGCCCCACATGCAGTCAGGACTCCACTGTGCCTGGCAGCTCCCAGAGCAGAAGACAGTCCCTGCCTTGTAGAACTGACAGGCTAATAAAGACAAAACCCAACAAGCAGATGCAGCAAGAACAATGGTAGCAGAGGAAGCAACAATATTTTGCAGATTTAAAAGTAGGTCAGTCAAGCCCAGAATTAAGTAGTTTCATTATGTTTTAATATTAAAAAAATATTTATGGTTCAAGGAGTCTAGTGAATACCTACATGGCCATATTCTGTGAGCAGTTTCCCTTCTGCACCACAGTAGATGCAACTCTCAAGAAGGGCCTGCAAAGTTTCACAGTCCAGTGCAGGGGACATTTCATGCAATGGTAGAGAAAGAAAGTGCAGATCTGCTTGCAGAAATAACGGATGAGAGTGCAGGTGGTGGGAAAATACAGAGAGGAGAACAGAGCAGCAACACCTTTACGACCTGTGATCATTTTAGGAGGGAAGCTTTGCTTCTGAGGAGCAAAGCTTAAAAAAAAAAAGAAAAAAAAAAAGTTTTCCCGGAAAACAAGAAAGGAAGGAGTAGTTGTAGCAACCAGTATGAGAAAGCCCAGTAAAGAGCTATAACAACATACGCAGAGGGAAGAGGAAAAGAAAAGCTGTCTGTGGGAAATAGGACCACAAAAATGATCGAGGGCTGGAGCATCTCTCCTGTGAGGACAGGCTGAGAGCATTGGGGTTGTTCAGCCTGGAGGAGAGAAGGCTCCGGGGAGACCTTATAGCGGCCTGCCAGTGCTTATAGGGGGCCTACAGGAAAGGTGGGGACAGACTTTTTAGCAGGGCCTGTTGCGATAGGACAAGGGGTGATGGTTTTAAACTAAAAGAGGGTAGATTTAGACTGGAGATAAGGAAGACATTTTCTACCATGAGGGAGGTGAAACACTGGCACAGGTTGCCCTGAGAGGTGGTAGAAGCCCCATCCCTGGAAACATTCCAGGTCAGGTTGGACGGGGCTCTGAGCAATCTGATTGAACCGAAGATGTTCCTGCTCACTGCAGGGGTGGGGGGTTCTACCAGATGACCTCTAAAGGTTCCTCCCAGCCCAAACTATTTCCTGATTCTATGATTCTAAATGGTCAGGCAGAAAACACAGCAAGATTTGGCTGTGGTTCAAATGAAGTGTCTTGATACGGCAGGGTCCAACTGGCAGCTCTGTTATGGCCAACCTCAATGGGAATGGAAGGCAGAAAACTTCTCAGGACAGGTTAATTTTTAAATAATGCCGCATCTCCTCTATTAGGGAGAAAAAAGGACAGTGGAGAAAATACTGAAGGCAAATTCAGAGTGCTACGAGAACAAAGCTAAAATCCTTAGTAGCTCAGAAGTGAAGCACAACAGGACAATAATATGCCCTGAAATGCAGCTTTTGTCGTCTAAGAACAAAGAAATGAGTTTTCTGTTCTTACCAGCATGAAGCTCTTTTCTTAGGGGAACAACTACAATCACTTTGCTGTTACCCAATGCTACAACACCAACCGACAAATTAACGGTGCAGCTCTCCAAACTACAAAGAGCAGATAAAGGGATTCTGAGCATTACACCCTCAGCTACGTTAACTCATCTTCCCAACAGGTGCTTGCCACAACGCATCAACTCTGCATTCAGACTTAAGTTTCACATCAGTATCTGAGCAGCGAAACAAGCGGGATTTTAACCGAGTGACAGGTTCAGTATCTGCAGTACCTGGAGAATAAACAAAGCAAGACGAACAGTATGGTCCTTGCCATGCAGCTAAAGGAGGCCAAGGGTGCAGAGTTACAGTGACATTTATAAACACAGTGGTCTCAGAAGCGGAATTCTAAAACACAGCTCTGGAATAGTCACATCTAACCACAGAGATAACCAGAAGATGCTGAGCTTGATAACAGGCTCAGAAGCTGAAAGGAAAATTGCAGAACTGAATAGAAGCTTTAGGGTGACAACCCAGTGGTTAGCTCTGCAACAGCACCATTCCCAAAGGATTAACAAGAATGTTTATCATGTGGGGCTCTGCACGTCCTAGTAAAATATTGATTATTGGCTAGCAGGAGGCACTGCATTTGTTTTAACACAGTTACCCTTCTGCAGCGAGAGAGAATAAACACGCCTTTTGCAAACTGTTCAGTGACAATGTAATCTGTTCCAGGCAATGATTTCACGCCCACAATTCAAAGCTTCAGACACAGCTGTACTCAGACCATACAACTTCAAGGGGATATTACTGTAAAACGAACGAGTCATTTTGTGCCAAGGCCAAGAAAAATAGCAATGTCCTGTATGAATCTAGTAACTTCTAGTGCTCAGAGTCGTTAAAGACTGGGGCGTTTCCTGAATAAAAGGTATGGACTAGAAGCCTCCAAACGAGCCCAGAACTCTCTCTTTAAAACGGAAACTCTGTCCTGTGGTCAAGTTTACTCTCCTAAACACTGTGTGCTATTGTAACCCATTCAAATGGACGCTCAGCTTCAGCCTTTACAAAAAAAAAGATTTTAGGAAGCCTGTATTTTCTACTGACAGTTTAAAACATGCCTAAATTGAGAATTAATGTCTTGTTCTAATTGCATTGAATAATGCAAAAATATCTTCCCTCTAATATTACTGAGCTGTTTCCTAAGCAAATGAGAGTTAAGCAGACTTGTTATGAAATCTACCTTCCAACAAGTTTTCTCAAAAAATTACAGCTAGATGGAGAAGAGAAACCCACACCAGCTGCCATCCCTGGAAAGTCTGCAGCCACCTGGCTCTCATGTACCAATTGATTCAGACAGCTTGGAACCAACTGCAGGCAGGACACATGCTGCCTTCTGTCCAGTCAGAGTCGAGGGCAAGGGAAGAGTTGAAGGCACAGAGCAGAAATGTATATGGCAAATGAAGGAGGCTACCTGTAAGCCTGCTCATCAGAACTACAGGAAAGGGATCAGGGATTATTGCAGGAAGGGAATGGGATGTAAAGCCAAAGGAAGCAGGGCTTCATCACTGCATGCTCACAGAACAACATCTCTTCATTGCAGCAATGGCTGGAGTCTCCCATCAAGCTTCATCCTGCTGAGCATCACATGTGTCTGCATCAAGCCTGTAAAACTTCGAACCGAGCAGAAAGATGAACCCCTTATATTTTCATAAGTCTTCAAACTCCAAAGAAAGATATAAAAAATTCTCTATAACAACACATTTCCTAAATCTAAAGATGTAAATAGACGCAGAGATGATTTTCAGAAAGAAGCAGGACCTGCAAATCACTTGCTCGGACAACATCAATATGCTCCAAGAACCAGTCATTAATCTAAGCAGATGCCTACAGTGACACAGGCTAGTAATGACCTAAATAGCACTTATAATGGGAACCCAAAGTGTTTTCAACCTTGCCTTTTCTAAAATACAATTCTAAATCTGGACTTCTGAATTAGGTCAAGCCTACCACAACATTTTTTTCTGAAAATGTATAGAAAAGCAACAAAGCCATATTTAAGGAGAAGTATTTCAGTTAATATACTAGCCTACCTATCACTGCAAATAAGCACAGAAAAACTATTTGAAATAGGCTACTGCAGCCTTAAAAATTTTAAAACTTGTTTAAGCTGCTTTTAATAAACTTCACTGGCTCTGTAGAAAGAATTGTATCACTCAGCTGTACATAGTCTGCCTCAATTCATGCCATGAATTATAATAACAATGGTGTAATTATGACTGATGCACACGGATTTCTGGTACTATATCCAACCTTTGAAAAGACACTGGAATTGTGATCATATAAAAGACACGGGGCACCTAATGAACACCAGCTACAAAGAAGTCTGTCCACCAACCCAAACAGAAAAGGAACAGCAATTGCTGACACACACATTAGTTACTGACCTGACCCCTTCCTACTCACATATCTTGCAAGTGTTTTGACCATCAAACTTTTCATACGTCTACTGAAAGGTAGGCTTTCAATAACTAAAAGCACACTTTTCTTTCACTATAACAAATTAACTTAATTCTAAGAAACAAACACGCATTCTGAACCCTTTAAATGTGACAATCTCTTGATTGTCCTGACAATCTCTTCTAAAAAAGCTTGGTATGTAATGGGTATTTTTGGTCTGCATATGTTGATTTGAATTTCCATTTGATTATCGGGTAGAAAATTTCAGAGATTTTAAGAGCTTTAAGCTGAAAAAAGATCCATAAATGCAAAAAAAAAAAAAAAAAAAAGGAAGACAGGCATGTAAAAGACCAGTGCTGCATACACTTCTAAATGACTCTCTCCTCATCCAGCATAAGGTGAGCTTTGACATCTGCTAACGAAATGACACATTGATTCCCGTACTGAATGCTCTCCTGCCATCGATCTGGACACTGTGCTCATTTTCCTCATCTCCTGCTATTCCAAGGCAATTAAAACAATCAGCTAGACAAAGGCAAGATAGAAAGCAGCATCAACTCTAATGCCCAACTGCATATTATCTGCTGAATCACAGACATGGCGATAAAATCTAAACAGTGGCACCGTCAAAACTGTGACATTTATCATGGTGTGCTATCTATCTTTAAACACAGCATTTGTTGAAGCTCCTAAAATTAGAAGGGAACACACTGCAAATACCATGGTAACTACTTGGCATGGTAAATCAAGGTCCTTAAGGCTCCCACACAGACTTACTGCTATTGTGACTAGAGTTATCCAAATGGCACCTAAGCATACTTACTACTTACCAAGCAGTAATGTTACCTTGAATTAAACTAAGAATAAAGCCAAGTGCTTACTTGCTCAAAATAGCACCAAGATTTTTCTGATGTTAATGAGCAGCTCAAAACTACTTCAAAAATAATTTTGTTTGTACTGTACATTGTAAAGACAAAGCTGGGCTGATATAAGACTGATTTCAAAACACAAACAAATTTCAATTTGCAGAGAGAGTTCCGCCCAAGCAGTTTAGGAAAAAACAGGAAAGAAAAAAAAAAAAAAAGAAAGAAAGAGAAGGTACAAGGAAAGAGATAAAATATTAAAGGAAATAAAGAAGTTTGAGGTTGAATGAGATCACCCAGAATATTCAGAAAAGGCTTGCTAGATTTCATATCTCCATTTTGTTTTACAACATGTTCAGTGATAAATTGAGGGTACCATTTACTTATTCAATAAGAGCAGAATGGAATACATTCTTCAGCCTTCTGAGAGTAGTTAATATCTAAAGAATTGTGCCTCCAGCCTTTGCTTTCAATTCAGACATGGATAAATTGCTCATCTTGAAGACAGATAATCCCTCGAGTTATGGTTACATTGATTTTCCAGAACTGAGAAGGGAGACTGGTAGTGCCACAGACAAGTGACAGACAGCTAACTACCTTTAACCTTTGTTAGTCAAACACCAGTAGCAGGTCACAGGAACAGGTCACGGGAAGTTTGCTTAGTCTTTTATACAAACTTTACTCTCTTATCTTACGAAGAATTTTGAAAGTATGTCTATTAGCCAGGAACAAAAGTCACCAAGTCAAAGATTTTCCTTTCCCTTTAGCTGTCTCTAGAAACATCAATATAGAAGTCTTCACAGAGCAGACAATTTATACAAGCACAAGTAACACGGATGAGATGAACAGGTGTGCACTACATACATCGTCAAAGACATCAGCCCTCCAGACGCACATCCACAAAGCTGACCAGAAATAAAAGCATCATACATTACAGGTGATGCATACTGACAGAGATGACAGCTGTTGAAGCACAGGTCATACAAATAGGCAAAACGGGGCTGAGAGTCCTTGTAAAAGCACTTACAAGTAAAACTTTTCTTCCCATACAGGGTTCAGATTTCCAAAAATTGTTTTTGTCCTCTTCTTTGTTTTACCCACTTGAACTGTCACATATGGATCACTGGACCCAGTCTTGTCTTTGGCCTGCAGACCCTGAGCACACACCACTGGAAGGAAAAGAGAAGGGTTACCACCACCATGCAATAGGACAATGTGTTCACACCATGTGAAGCAAGAGCTCAGAATGGCCAGAGAAATAGGAATATCACTCATGAGAGCTTATTTGATGAGCCTCAGCTCATGGTGCACTAGAGTGCCTGGGATATGAGTATCTCCACCTGCTACCTGTACCAAGAAGTAAGAGACACAGATCAGAGAAGACCTTTCTCTCTAGCTTCACATCAGCTCTCTTTTACCTTAGGGTTCCAAGCGAGGCCAAGGGAATCCATGCCTCCCTCACTCACCTGTGATCGTGATCTTTGCTGACCATTTTGAGGTGCCATCAAGCACGCTCTGCTTCACTGTCTTCATCTGCTGAGCATGTGTCAATTTGCTTTCACTGAACACATCTCTGATCAAGTCAAAAATCTCTGGTTTGTTCCGTTCTCGAATTTTCATGCGATCCTTCATTGCCATGATGAAATTCTGGGTTCGGTCTTCAGCTCCATGCTTCGAGCTCTTCTCAGCTGCTCCTGTGCACCAGAAAGTACAAAATTCTCATCAGAAACACACAAATACAAGGCCATGTTTCACTGAGTCTGGACAGCAGGATCAAAGTCATGATTTACCCTCCACATGACAGCTCTTGCTATTCACTTTTACAATCAGATCCCCTCCAATTCAACATACATACAAGTGAATCTGGATCACTCAGAGCCAGGAGGGGATAATGGAAGGTGAGTGTGCAGATTCCTCTGCAATGTAGGACTAAGTTGCTCTCCTGACAACAGGCCTGAGTTTAATATCCTTGCAGCTGAAGAAGACCCAGAAACGAGGTTCTCACTTTAACAGAAAACATCAGCATGCCCTCTCCTCTCATCACTTTGCTTTGAATAAACAAACCCCTGCATGGGCAAGTGCTAGAAAGAGGACATAGGACCTCCATTACAAATGGTATCTATGAGTTTGTCTCAGTGCTGTGCCTCAGCACCATAGAAGAGTCGAAGTTCAGGTGGGCCAACATGGTCACCATTTCTTACTGATGTGTGCCACAAGACTCCCCATTCAGCACAGAGTCACTGTACAATCTATGGCCCATTCTGCCTGGAACCACCCTGTTTGGATCAGGCATCAAGCTGGAGGCATCCAAAGTGCCTCTCTAGATCCCACCCTATTTTATCAGCTTGTAAGAAGACAACTCAAATAATCCATTCTTAGAATCACATGGGCGTAGCAACTATAACAAACACTTAAGACTACAAATTCAATAAGACTACAAATTCAATAGTTAAAGACTTGGGCCATCATAAGCATGGGGCACTAGTACAGTATCCAGCACCTGGAAACCCAAGAGCCAGGCATAGGGTCTGTACTACATAGGTATTCAACTGTATCTGGAAAAAGAGCAGCCTCTGGTCACTTGCAACCTCCTACCGAATTTAAAAGCTCATATGATTATAAGAATGCTCCCACAACCAGCTACTCCCTACTCAATTTTGACAGTCATGTTTTCTGTCAAAATTCAGCCACTAACTATTGTGTCAGATGTGAGGCATGCATCAATGAAAGCACTGACACAAGCTAACAGCGCAGACAAACCTGTGTATGAAATGGAAAGCAGGAACCCAAGACTGCAAACAGTGTCTACATGCAGTCCGCAGCAATTTCAAGTTATGATCTTAAATCAGATCAAGTTAAACCAGTACAAAAGTCCTATGAACACATTCAGCCATAACATTTCTATTTAGTTTAACGTGCTTTTGCTTGGTTTTCTGCTCTGGGATAGTTTAAATAAAGTAAGCTTTGTCCTAGAAAAAATGATCTTTATCCAGGTGTTCACCAAATATTAAATTACCTTAAAAATACGTATTAAAGCAGATGCAAGTGTGTGCAAAGGGAATCATCAATCACAAAGACACAAAAAACTGTTTTCTTCTGGAAGAAGTGGGCAAATATGATATCCGGAGCACCTTTAATTAAGGCGTTACAGTTTTGTATATGAAACAGTTTCAGAAGGTAGTGACCAAACACGAGTAAAGTTCTATGAACACATAAAGGACCCCCAGCAGTACAACATAACTGGCAACCTTGTTAGCAGGCTCGACAGGGTGCCCAGTGACTAACGCTGCCTGAAGACATCCATTTCCATGGCCTTCAATCTAACACCTTTCACCATTACTAAATTCACTTCAATAAAGAAACAAAACTCAATTATAACTTCTACCACCCAAACCAAAAAGAATAAAAACACAGTTTGGAACAGACTGTGACTGCTCAAGTTTCAGAAGTTCATTAAGGACACTGCATACCAAGGCATGCTATTCAAGACCTGGGTATAAAACAAGCCGTAACTTCGCATTACCTGATTATTTTTTTCATTTTATTTGCTAGAGGCTTGACGTTCAGTATTCCATTTAGTACAAAAAAAAAAAAATCTGCCCCAGAGTTTCCTATTGTTGGCTTAAGATGAAATGAAATCAAAATACTGAAATTAATTACGCAGTCCCTGCTGTCTCTACTCACCGGTGACGAACAACTAGCACCACCCAAAGTAAGGTCTTGTATCAGGCAATCATCTGGCTGTAGACCCAACATTTATTAAAGGAATATCAAATTATACCAGGGGCTATACTTTGAACTTCAGATAATAAGTGTTATTCAGCTTTAACAGAACTAGGTCTTCTGGGGATGGAGGTGGACTCTATGCAGTATACACAGAGCTACAGAAAATTATTGGGAAATTGGGAAAGGCCAAACGGAATAATTTACCTCTCCTAGCTGGAATTCTGAAGTCTGTCGTGATCCAAATAAACCAACCCTGCCCTGACCTTTCTCACTTCAAAGAAATTAAGAACCAAAGTCAAACATTAAGAGTTTATGTTGTACATGAGCAGAGTGCTCTATTTCAGAACCATTTTCTAAAGAAATTACTAGCCAGGCAGCTTGCAAATACAAATGTTTCACTACTCATCACTGAGATGGGACACAAGTTATCACAGTTCTGGGATGGCATGGTCTGCACCATTGTCTTAATGTAAGCCCTCCAGGAGCATCAAATGATGCTTTAGAACACAAACTTGGACAAATGGAGGAATTCTAGTTAAAAACATGTTTAATATCCCCACCACTCCAGAGACCTCGCATAGTGCATTTATCCCTCTGCAAGGCTAGCAGCAGGTCGGGGCATCCTGGGTTGCAGGATGCGCGAGCCATGTCACATAGACCCCTACAGTGCCCCCTCTTTAGTCTCCTCTAAGGCTTGGCTCTGCCTCCTGACTTTCAGAGGAAATCCCCCACCTCCATCGATGCTGCTCCCCCACTCCACCCAGATAATTTGCCTAGGTAAGAAGGCTGCACTATACCTTCCCTGGGAAAGGTGTCTCTCTCCCTGCAGAGGTTGCACCTGAACTGCAGTGCAAAAGCCAGAATCAGATAGACACATTATTTAACAGTACGGACTAAGAACAGACAAACCCTCTGTCTCAACAACATCCTCTTTCTTAATTTTAATACTTGCTTGCTGGTACAAAATCACCAGAGTTTCCAAAACAACCATTGGGGGACTAATTACCTATGATGTATGTGATATAAACACAAAGCACGTCACTATACTGGATGGCAGAGGGTGCTCTTCCTGTTGTTGAACTTCATTCTATGATTATTCCGCTCCAAAAAGAGCAGTTTGGCCAGTTGTCCTAGGTTACAGTGTAAAATGT